TACGCATCAATTAACCACTCAGCATAACCATGAGCAGTACAAATTTGAACGTATTTATCATTTATGCTTCAAAAACTGTTTAAGTTACTATGTTCTGACTCCCAGCTCAGCATGTGAACACTTAATTGAATCTCTCAGTGATAAGTAATGAATATAGTGTATATTTCCGTCTCAGTAGGTCTTGTTCGCAAAGCTCATAAGTGCAGCTTTCATAGAGGTTCTGTGTCCTGATACGTTGGATTTAACTATTATATTTTCATGATAGAAATTCAAAATCCTATGCTATATCAAGTCAACATACTTGACTTTTCAGCATAAGCTTGTTATACTCCTCAAAATTATTCACTCCCCTTCACTTGAAATGGTTATTAATATATGAGAATCGAAGGATATAGACTTTGGAAATGAAGCAAAGCTCAGTGTTCATAAGCGACCATTGAATGTACTTCATTATCTGCTGTTGAAATGAATACCATTTGCGAAATAAAACAGATTTTCTCATTACTGAATCAAGAAAAGTGGCGCAGTTTATTACTTAGTAGTAAAACAATCACTTGATATTCAGTAGGTTTTAGTTCGCGTTGATTGAACACCATATTGCTTTCAATATAATCTTTGTTCATATAATGATAATAATAAATTTTGTTTTATGAATATAGCTTCTATCATAATCGTAAATCTCATTTTCTTATGCTATAATAATCTCAGTATAAATGGTCACTTCTAATACGTGAAATTTGTTGTATTTAACATACACACACTCACACATAAACTACCTTACCGTATACGCCTGTTTGTGCAATAACTGTCAACAAATCAGAGGTTTAGTATTGCCGTTTTCACTCTTTGATTTATACTACTCATTGTTGAAACTTGGTTAGTAGCATAGTGGGCTGTGTCCAATATTGTCATTTAACTAATCACCTCTATATTGTGGAACTGAAAACTATTAAGAAAAGAAAAATAATTCTGTAATGACGAAGAAGTCACACACACACACACAGGTAAATAACAAGTCGACTGCATCTAACATAATGCCAGTTTTTACGATTATTCATCTATCTAAATTGGACATCCCATTGAAGAGAATTTTCATGCGTTTTGCATGTATAAGAATATACGTTTCTGTGCTGTTGTAGGCACAATCCATCTGCAATTTTCCACTTTACGTTTGACCAAACAGTAAATATTTAGAATACAGATTGGAGGTTAGGTAACAGCAGTAACAGTAAAATGAATATTCCTATCTACATAACAAACAGACAGTAGATAGATGAACTGTGACCTTGACTAAAACGTTGGAGAGAAAATAAGCACTGGTTGGTACTAGAAAAATAATTATTCATTTGAAAGAAAACATGTTTTCATCATTTTATGTTATTTTCAAGCTTCTTGTAGATACTTAATACAACGTATCTAAAAGCCTCATTTCAGAGAAAACTATATTCATATATATATGGAAATGATTGATTATTATATTTACTATGTGGGCACAGAGAGAGTGTATCAATGCCGAAAATGCGCCTGGATTAGAAATTAAACTCAGCAGTTAGTAGGTGGCCTTCAAATATAATTGTTTAATTTTATAGTTGGCAGGAGGTCAACAAAGTTCAGAAGAGTTTTTATCATAGGTTGATATCAGCTTGGAACCATTGGAAACCTTTGAACATTGTCCAGCTTTTTGAGCCTTGTTTGCACTCTTTAGAAACGTGCATTCATGATGGTGTACTTATCATACATTAAGTTAAAGAAGTCGAAAAATCTGGGTCATTGAATTCAGACCCAATATATATGCAGCAACGTGATTGATGCAAAACCTTATGACCCCAGATTAGATCTCATATAGATTTGTGGGTGCATATTGCCAACGAAACCAGACTATGTAGAAACAGCTGTCCACTGCTGAAAAGATTTCAATAATTTCACAGTTCATTTTCATTCGTGACGAAATCATGGTTCTAAATAACTAAACTGTAAGACATTGAAAGTGTAGTAATGTTTTTCAAGAGTGTTTGCTTCAAACTGATGAGTTCGCTCTCGTAGACTGAGTATTATGTATGTATATGTAGCGTGGCTTCAGATGGAGCTTACAAATTTTCAGTAGGAATCTATGATATATTGTCTGGCAGGCGTCAATGAATTTGGGCCCTATATGTTAGATATTTACTACTTAACTTCAAGACATGCAAATCTTTTTGTTTTCAAGTAAGAATTCACTGTAAACTATAAATCTCATTCACTTTTCCTTTTGTGTTATGCAGAAAGCTTAATACTGGAATAGTCAAGAATAAGAAACAACTGCCATCCTCTTAGGCACGCAGCACATGTGGTCCCTCAGTGATAGCCATACTCAAGTCAAGGTGCTTCACTTTTACATTAGATAATCATCTCTTGTGTGAAAAATTGAATTAGTTGTAACCGTTTATTTTGAGCAGATTGATGAACTTTTGAAAGTCACCAACCTAGCATAACATTAAACTGACGAAAATAGCATTTATTCACAATGAATTCTTTTTGACGTACACCAAGGAACTGAGTATTAAGTAAAAAATAAGAAACTGATAGACTTCCATTAATATTGTAAGCTTTCAGGCCTAACTTTTACATCAAAGTTATTTGCAGAATGGAAAGGATCTTGGGGAAGGCGGTATTTGTCCACTTTTCCTGTCTTGTTAAGGCTTCAATAATTCACATAGAGAGTCCAGAGCTTTGCTTTAATGCTTCAAATCGCACCTTTTGTTTTCCTTCCTCTTCTATGATCATTTGTCACGTAATATTAACTCTCATTTGTTCCTATACTTCGTTGTCAGTAACTCATTTTAAAAGTTATTTCTCGTTGTCTCTATATGATGTGTGTTAAACTATGATTAATACTCATTGTCATAAGCAGCTTTTAGTATCTTTGACTTGTGATAAATGATCCTACTTACCATATTATCCCATAAATAAAACCAAACAGAACAACAGTGATGAAGTAACATTCGAATTTTGATCAGTGATGAAAGCACTTTCACATACAATTCAGCTGAGTATATGACAGGTAACTGATTAGGATGATGTGTCTTGTGCCAAAGTAGTAATAGTCTGAAAACCACTAGGAACCGCAGAAAGCCTAGTGATTTTCCAACATGTCTCAAAGAACTAATTACTAACTCATGGACTGAACGACAGCTTTGTCCCTGCAACACCTAAAGTGTTATTGTTGAATACTGTGAAGAGTTGTGTGTGACCATTCCTATAGGATTTGAAACTAACAAAAATAGCTAGAAAGTAATGTATGAGTTACAGTGGTTCTCTGGGTAATGTCACTCACTACGGAATAAATCAGTCTAATGACAATAATAATTTATGGCTTTTTAAATGGTGATTTTGTGAGGATTGAAAAACGTGTTCATTGTTATTCTTTGTATTTTCAATATTTATTTCTTCAAGCGCAATAAACATTCATTCAATTTTGAGGTTTCTGGGGGGTTTTTGATTTCAGGTCGGTATTCATCATGGACTGATATCGGTTGGATAAACATTGGAAACCTGGAAGCACTGGACAGCTGTCGAACATGATAGTAACTCAACAACAGCATTGTATGGAAGTCGCACTATAGGACTTCAACCCAGTTGTTCAATACTAATGTGCTTGCTGCGGAACCTGAAGGTCCTGAGTCCGATTCCTGATGGGGTAATGAGCGATCACTGATGAGAAGTCATATACTAGGACAGAACAACTGTCCAGTGCTCCCAGGATTTCAATGTTTTTCCAAGTGAAGTTAGTCCTTGATGAATAGCAACCTGAAAACACATTTATTCTCTGGAAACGAATTGTCACAGTCCAAAATTGATTCTTCCTCTAATCTACCGTATGGACCGAGGCGTAAAGAGCGCATAGGGTGGTTAACCGAATTCGTTGTGAGAAAGATTTCAAAAAGCTACACGTCTCTTTTTGTGTCATTGTCAAAACGTTTTAAAAGTCTCGATATGGATTAATGTTATTGAGCTTATCTGTATAAAAAGTCTTTTGCTAACTAAAGTGAAAATCAGTTAAACACTATGACTTCATATCACCAGATGCATGTAGTTAAATAAACACGCATCACAAATGGACTTCAACACATACTGAATACATGACTCAGAATTTATTACGTGTAAATAAATACTATCTCTACACCTTTTTTGACCAAAATAATGTGAAACCAAGTATATTTACACAACCTGATAAATCGTTCTATTTAACGTGAATGAATCCGCTGTTGGATAATTTGGATAAGTTGGAAGAAGATTCAGGGTGACCCAACTAACATTTGGCATCACTGCATGAAATCATTGACAGTTGTTCTGAACTGTGTAGGGAGGTGAAGACTGCCTGACGAGCATCCCGAGACGACTGGAATCGGTGGTTGCAGAATCCAGGTGAAATAGCTGAAAATCAATCATAGTTGTACAAATGTATTCACTCCAGAATGTTTTGACTTGGTTTTCAAATCTTCTCTCCTCTCATATAATTTGGTCTCCTACGATATCATTCTTTTTCTATCCACTTTTTGCTTACATGGTACTATGAAATTTGGCAGCTAGAATCGATTTACTTATGTGCGAGGTTGTGCGTTGATTTTATCTATTACAGGTAAAGTAAAGCGTAACACTGAGTAATGTTAACTCTTTGTTCTTCGATACAATGAAATTCTGAAGTGTGTGTGCTGGAAATATCTGGCGTTTCTGTAACATACAAGTCGCTTTTTCCACTAAATCTTCATACGAAGTAAAGTCCGTAGTTTTTAAATAACATATTTATTTTCTTGTGCTTATGAGAAATGCCTAATTATCCTGTCTTGTCAAGTCACTGTTTAAATGAAAGGTCATGCTACTAAAATGTCAGTCAATTACAATCTGACTTCAGAGAACACTTTCATGCATGAATGTTTTATACTTTTCTGAACTTACTGCTTTATCCTTTCGCTTTAATAAAATTGTGTTATTTTTTGATTCCTTTCTCTTTTTATTTTTAGATAGGTCGAGTATTTGCAATCGACTGTGATGCTGAACTGTCCAATCGTATGATACGTTACAGCATGAGACCATCACCTGGAGCAGGAGGTCATTTAGTGAAATTATACGTTTATGTAAGCTTCGAGGGTATCATTTACACACATCAAACAACAGACAGAGAACAAACACCTGTGTTGACATTTGAAGTCATTGCTACAGATACTGGAAATCCTCCACTTTCAGCTGTGTCAAGCGTTCTTATTCGCATATTGGATACTAATGATAATGCACCTGTATGGATATTTCCAAAACAATTTGGAGCAAATAGTGTGATAAATATTTCACAGTATTCAACTGTTGGGCTGTTGATTACTCAATTGAGGGCAATTGATGCAGATGAAGGCTTAAACGGTGAAGTCATTTATTCCATTGTACACGGAAATGATGATGGATTATTTGAAGTGGACCCGATGAGTGGCGCTCTTTATCTAGTTCGTTCATTTTATCATTTATCACAGACAATGAATTTGAAGACACTGACGAAAGAAGAAGTTAACAATAGTGGATTATATCAATTTGGAGAATTAGCGGAGACTTTTGGCAAGATTCATGAACAGGTACATAGTTATAGACTTCTATTAAAAGCACAAGATCGAGGAACACCGTCTCGACAAAATACTACAGTTCTGTATGTAGCTGTACTTCCTTCTCAGCTTGATAAACAATCACAGACTGATCGAATATCTATGGAATCAGTATACCAACATCCTGATCTGAAACGTCAAGTGGGTTCAAATTTTTCTGATGTCAGACGAATGGATCGTGATTTGATTGTTATGGTAGTGTTGATTGCATTGACTCTAATTATTTCAGTGATTTTAATCATGGCGATATTTTTGATCAGATGTAAAGGTCTACTGTGCGTTAATCTGTTCAGTAGATCAAATCGTCGAAGGAACAATAACAATGACAATGTTAATAACAATCAACTCACTTTGGAAAATCATGCTATTCAGTCAGTCAACGGTAATGAATGCAGCTTCATTGGTGATCAATGGTGGAATAAATCATGGAAGGGAAAAACGCTCCCAACGGATTACTGCATAAACAAGGGTGGTGATTTACTATCAACATCTTGTCAGGATATGTACAGAGCTAGTACACTTGGTAAGCCTTGTTTGCGCTTCTTATGTAGACTTTATAAGTAAATCAGGTTTAGAGAATAACTATTGATAACCATAGTAATGCAGTCAAAAGTAAAGTATCGAAAAGTTAGAAAAGATTGTTTAAATGTGACCAAGGGTGATCAACTGAGAAACCGTGTAGAATCTGGTGCAATAGTTATTCTATGTTGGAACTCAATTATCTTGATAGTAGAAAAGAAGGAGACACATTAAAATAAAGCACATTATCTAGGTCATAGATTGGTAGCTTACATGATCTAGATGCTCGAGATTATTGCTACAGAATGTCTGTTTTAGTAAATATTACACCCGGCCACGTATATTTCATTCTCATTATTTTCCATATACAGTAATACAAAGTATAAGCCTGAATCTGGCTGTTTGATGACTTTGAAGTTTGTAAGCATTAAATTCGAGCCACTCATGACTGAGTACCCACTCCTTCCTTTTGTAAGAAGGATTCAGATTTGTGCAGCTGTATTAAATCCATAGTGATTTGTTAAAGTTTTTTTGTTAACTGTCATCAGAAAAGATTGTTCTTTAGTTATCAATAAGGGCTAACTGCACTCTAAGTACTCGATAAAAGTAACATTTGCCTCAAAAGTACATACTACAAAAACTTCACTAGTTGGTAACTGATGTATCTACTTGGTTCTTAGTGCTCAGCTCTGACTGAAGCCTCTCTAAACTAAGTGACATGGTACTGTAGTGCACTAAAAAACCGCGAACTTTTCAGATGTAATAAACCGGAAGCCAAATAGTTGGCAAAACTATTTGAGGTAGCCTTGGTTCTACGAATTGATCCTTCATATAATACAATGATGATTTAAGATGAAAAAACTTGTTCCACCGGTATTTAAACTGAATTGAATCGAAATCCTCGACGGGTGAAACAAGATGCAAACTCGTGATCCATAAGTTGACAGATGTGTGCTTAGACCAATGTATCAGTGTTCCACTGTGTTTAAACCAGAAGTCTCACGTTCTACGTACTTCTTTATATAGCCGCAAACTCGACCTGCAAGCATTAGTAATGGAATTCAATGTTACTTACTGTTTGATGGCTATCTGTTATGACCAAAGGCAATCAGTATTAGCCTCAATAAACCCTCTGTATATTTTACATCACTTGTGGACAGTGCTCCCTAGAATCCTTGAATTAGAATTTGTTCTTCTGCAACAAAACCTGACAGTTACAAGGCTTAGGTTGGTTAGAATTTCCACAGATGGAATCTAACCATTTAATGTCAAAACGCTTGCAGTTTATCCTAGCATATCAAACCTCTAGACTTACTAGCTACTTTCTTAACCATCCAGTGACCAAGTGGTATCCTTTTCTTGTTTATTCTGATATATTACTCCCTCCCTTGATTTGCATCAATCCTCCTGAGGTCAAATTTATCAGCACAATACTGTGACAGTCAGTCTATGATTTGTTTCAGATAAGTGTCTATTCTAGTGACTTGTTGATTCTTCTTCAGTGTAAATTTGATAAATTCAAAACAAAACCTGACAAATGGCAGAAATTTCACAGGTTACTGACACCATTTACGTTCACAATTCTTGTTTTTCGTCTTCTCAACAGTCCCCTTTGTCCGATGAAACAGAGAAATAACCTTATATTTAAAAATAGAACAAAATCATTTTAATTCATGCGAAATCAATAGAGAGAAACTTATGATTGATTGACTAATCTGGCAAAGAAGACGGAGAAAACATAAGGGAACATAGAAAACTGGTTCATTTAATGTGTGATTTTTTAAGTTTTCTAGATAAATTTATTTGTATTCAAAGGAAAAAAATATCAATCAGTCAAACTTTATTCTATCGAACTAGTATTCCTTTTCGAGTTGATAAGAATAGTTTTCAATGTATGTTTACTGAACGGTATGTTGTATACCTTATGTGTACTAAAATGGCTCGAAAACCTGCCTGAGGGAATTGAAAGGTGAGGAATTAATAATGATATAGCTTTCATCAGTTGCTGCCGTTATAAATCATCGATGTAGTAAACTTTTGGTTTATTGAGTGCTATTTAAAAAGTAATAATCGATACTGGCTAGTAATGGAATCCAGGAGTCACATTTCTTCCTATTTAGGATTTGTTAGGCTGATGTCCCCCCCCTCCCAATGAGTGACGTTATTCCCACAAAGACTCCAACCCAAAAATGACCGCTTCAAACTCCAAAGCATAATCCACTAGACCACCAAGACTTGATAGTCACTTCTTGTGCAACTGGGATGGGTTCTGCATTACTGGTTGTAATTTACCGTCTTTGGAGATCCACACACTTAGGCTATATCACTAAGAACTAAGACTTCGAACACAGGATAGTAAAACTACTGGATGTCACCCTCGTTAGTTGGTATTTAGTAACCCTTCCTGTCTCTATAAAATCTTTACAAAAAGCTGAATTTGATCTAAGGGCTCCTAAACATCATCAAACAACTGTCTTGTCCAAACTTCGTATCCTTTAGCATACACCAGATAGAACCCACCGCTCTCATGTTGAATATAGTAGTAGTTTCAAAAGTTGTTGCCAACAGTAACAACTGTCTATAAAACTGTAAAAAGCATGAAGGAGCTGTCCAGCACTTTTTATTTTTTAGTGGTCTCTCAAGTCATTTCAGCACTTCATCAAAACCGATTCAGAAGTCTAACGATTATGTGCCGTACTATTTGTACGCATCAATAAGTACCCGATATACTGAAGTTATAAGAAATTTACCTTTGAATAACATCATAACCTGTCCAGTAAAACCAAAATTTTATCGCATCAAAACTGTTTCGTGATTCATTCTGAGTTTAATCTACTCTTTACTTCCTCAGAAATGTTCAATGAACCAAGGCTTAAAAATCCCTGAGAATGGTTCTCAAGAAAGGCTTGTATTGTAGAGGTATCGATCTGCAGTAATAGTAAAAAGACCTTCAGTTCAAGATGCGGTATTCTGTTAACTTCATGTGCTACATTCCAGCGGTTAGGAACCACCCAAGTTAATCTGCAGATTTCAATAGCCATATCAGTGATTTCAACACCGAATGTTTATTTTGTTCATTCGGGATTAAGCTAATCAGAGGCATATCCCATCAAATTCAGCTCATGGAGTTGAGTTGTTCAGACCAACTGAATCTGGTTAGCTGACTTGAATGGACCGGTGTACCCTGAATAAATCATCGTGAGTGGTTTCTAAACACTCATAATGTTCTGAAATACACTTTGTCGATCCATAACGTGATTTCCTGTAAGATAAAAGATCTTATAATCTTGTTTGAGGAGTGGCTTTCAGCTGAAACCTTCTTGACATCACAGTTGGACAGCTTAAAAACTACCTAGCTCTAAGTAGTGCTAAACGGGCACATGGAATTTGTAAACAATTTCTGAACAGATGCTCTTATTTCAGCTTACCACTTCAGAAAAATCAACCATTCTTTCTTGTCCTTGACGACAAGTTTAACCCATGGGAAAAAATACATGTATAGTTGAGTAGACCTATGTCAGCACACTCACTTATTCTAACTTGGCAGCTAACTGTCAGTAAAATGAGGATTTACGTTAGGTAAAGTGACAGATTTCCCTTCACATAAGTCTTCTCAGCCTAGAAGCTTATACGACGGATCTTTGCCTCCTGAAACTGATTGATTGAATACTGGGTAATTGCATTCTAATCGATCTGTTCATCTTTCTCAATTATGTGCAGCATTTTGCCACACTGTAACTGATTAGTTCTACGTTTTCCATTTGGTTGCATTGGAAAGATGTTCCTGTAATTGTTACTTCCGTAACTAACAAGAAAGTAGCTGATTATTTCTTTACACTGCTGGTTCTAGAAATAGATTCACTGTCGAATTTCGGCTTCAAAGTTTGACTGTCTGGGAGAGTGATTGAACCTAATACGCTGAGATTAGTTGAGACTAAATAGGGCATAGGCTACCTCACGATTCATAATGGTGACACATAGTTTAAACATTAAGAAATTTAAGATAAGGATAATAAGTTACAAACCAAAATAATGAAAAGAGAATAGGATATCTTTTTTGTGTTATTTGAATGGCAGCTAAGATAACTTTGAAGAACTCTGTAACAAGTCCCTTCTTTCAACACAGCAGGTAATTAGAGTGATTATTTAAAATTCACTCAAGTTTTCTTCCTGCCATCACCTTTGTTCCTAACATGCATTTGAAAAGCTGAAAAATTCATTTTGGGAGTTTGTGGGTTTTTTTATTGATTTCAGGACGATAATGATCATGGACTGACATCAGTCGGAAACCTGGGAGGATTACAAGCTGTTCCGTCCTAGTATGGGACTTCTCAGAGGTCGAACCCAGAGCTTTCGGGTCCTGCAGCCACCACATTACCATTGAGCCAGTAGGTTAGAAACAAGCGGCCTATATTTCTTACTTCTGTCGGTTCATGATATAGCATTGTCTTCACCCAATGCTATGGTTCAGCAACTGCTGTTATGTACAACTCCGTTAGCCCCATCAATTACTTCTCATTAGAACTTCACGAATCACTTCTTAAAGAGAATTTTGCGAGGATTTATTTATTGAAGGTTGTAGCGATAAAAACCCAGTCAGTAAAATGAAACAGTTTATACAAAGAAAGAACAAAAAACCTAATCGAATATTACATAATAATGATACTTCAACGACTTCTCTCTACTGCCCAGTTAAAGAACACGAATGATTTCATTTGGGAATCTTGATGATGAGGAATAAACAATATGGAATAAAACTGAAAACAATCATGAGCCTCAATACAGCATCCTGCTTCTGAAGATCGAAATGTTTCGTCTTTTATACAGTCGTGTTACCGTTGTGTTACGTTCAAGAAATCGAAGAGTGAAATGGAAGATTTAGATCCTTAAAACACATTTTGGAATTTTGCATTTAAATTCTTCTGAGCTTTTCTTATTCATATTCTTTTATTGCTTAATAATTTGATCCGTCTAGACATGTAAGAAAGCAACAAACTGAGTTAA